CGATTTTGAAGTTGAAAAGCTAAAAAAGCTCAAAATTATCATAACTTGAAAATAATAAATATACCATATATTTTAACAAACGCTTGAATAGAGTGTGTTTATACGCTGTATGATGATTTGTATTGATGATACGTTCATAACGGCACTTGCAGTACATAATGTTTTAAATAGATCAGCGATATGGTATCGAATATTGTCGAATAACGATAAAACATGATAATCTCGTCTGTATCACAACAAATTGGCGTTTATTATCGCAGTTCGATATCGTAATCGCGGATTACGATATCGTAATAATACTTTATAGTCATATCCTTTTCATTTATATTTTCATACTTTGGACGCCCTAAGGAAATCGCTTCATTTTCTTCCCCTTGGGACGGCTATATTAGTGACTAATTATGATTTAACGCTATTTACCATGAGATACTCGTATTATTGAAAACATTTATTACTGCTGAAATATTTTCAGGCGGTACAAAATCAAAACACAACTAATTGTATAAATATGTCATATATATTACGAAGATCAGTATAAGATTGTACAAATATTTGTTCTCAAGTTCTTGATTTGAATTCTATAGAAATAGGACCGTCTGGTTTGTTGATCAACAAAGACTGGCTATCCAATGTTGATCCTGTCCACGTCATTTCAAAATTTCTGACAATCTGGAACACGTGAGTGCAATCAATGCATAATTGAATCTATCAGTAGTGTGTAGGGGCTAAGAAAAGCAAATTTCCCTTTTAAAACCATATCATTACTGTATATCTTACTTTCATGAGTACGACCTGCAAAAACTGTTCGGATAAACGTCTTGCGATGCACGTCCTGGGTCCATGGCCAAACGGTAGGACCAAATACGGGCTGACCGACTCGTATTCGACGCTATCCTTTAACCATCTCTCCGGCACAAACTTGTCAGGTCGTCGAAAGTATTCGGCCAGGCGGCAGCTCACTTGATTCTGCGTGACGACTACCGTCTGTGTAGGGGTTTCAACGGATAAAAAAAAAAAAAAACCAAAACGTTTCATTTAAATCGCTTTCTTTACAATTCGCAGTCCCAGAGGCGGCTTGTGAGTACTTTCTACCGAGGCACCACTTTGGTACAATTCTTAAGCTTATCACGTTTTTTTTTTAGATACATCTTGGTTGGATAAATTAATATTTGGAGAATAATACAATTCAAGAATCCATAGGGTCGTACATTATCAATGTTTTAACGTTCAAACACAATTATAAAATAAAACGAGCGAAACGAAGACAAAATTTTTGAGATAGATGTGAGTAGTGCAATTTGATCCGTCTCGGTAAGATGAAGATGTTCAAACCACCACGTTCGACTGAGAGTTATAGCGATATGAAAATAATATTATAATTTAAATTATATTTACTCCTGCCGGGACTCTGTATCCGGAAAACACACATTCTTCGGGCACTATCCGTCCGATTCCCACCGATATAGGGTTCATTCGAAACATCTCCTTGATCACTGCTTTCGTGTACACAGCCCGATCCAACGTCTTTCCCGTGACTGTAGTATTACTTTCCGGCAAAAGAGTACGCGTTTCGGCGAACATTTTCTCCTGCACGTCCGCGTTCGACGACAGGTGATACAGTCCGAAACAACACGAGTACGTCGCCTAAAACCATTGTGTATTATTTTTTAGATTAATAATATAATGTATTCATAATTGTTTCTCGAATGAACGTCACACACAGACACACACACGTTTCATCGACCAACAAAGACCAGTCTATAACATATAATGAGATTACCGTGTCGATCCCGGCTAACAACGTGTCTACAGTCATTCCGATTACGTCTTTGAAGTCGGTTTCGTTCGAGCGTAAGTATTCGCTTAACAACGACGACTTGGAACCCAATGCATTGATATTGGTCAATTTTTCACTTACTATTCTTAAAGCAATCCTAAATAATAATAAAAAAAAATCATTTGAAGGGCTACGAGAAAAATTATATTAGCCAAAAAAATAAAAATATCTGATAATTACATCATCTTACCATTTATTGGTATTTATTATATTTATAACTTTATAAAAATAAAAAATTTGTTAAATTACTTTTCGATGTGTTCGTGTCCTTTTTTGATACGTTTGTACATAGGTGTGTCGTACTTTCTCCAAAGCTGTGGCCCATTGTCGGTCTTTAATATTGCACTGTTTATATCATGTGCCGCCTTAATGAGTTTTGAACACTCTGAATTGGAGTCCCACTCTTCGTCTTTGAACCGTTGGAGTCTTTCGTCGAATGCGACATAGTACGTCACTGTTGACGCAGATGGACTTCAATATCATATAAAAATATTTTGAAGGATAATAGTCTGTAAATTGTTTGAAAATTAAACCTACATTCAAGAAACAGCCTGGATAATTCTGGACCAAAATCATTGCCTAGTCTTGTGCGTTTTATTCGCTGTTCTATAAATTCTCCGACAACTGTATTCGTACTGTCTACGTACTGTTTGATGCATTGAACTTTACTCAAATGTTTTTGAAACGCCTTCCTGAGTCTCCACCAATCCGAGCCGTTCCTGCAGTAGAATATGCGACAACGCGTTTATGTTAAGTTATACATTTGTATAATAGAATAACACGAGAGCTGGGTTTCTATTAAGTCAGGGTAGTCTCAGGGATCATCAGCACCGAAACTAAGTCTATACCCACCAAAAACCGCGCTTATCCCTGGGTCATGCACTTTTTTAACTACCAAGCTTATCCTAATAACCAACAAGTTGTAACCGAGGCTGGCTCCTCAACCTCGAGAGGCAAACCAGGCCTGCATACGATGGGCCTCTCCTCTCTTGTGGTACCAATTAGGTTTTTAAATTTATGTTGGCAGATCAACCTTGGTTGTTACTCCTTTCCCATTATTTCGATTTCCCCAGCCGGCTCGTAGTGCAACGTAATAATATAATAACAGCACAAAAGCAATAGACAATACAGTTGACATACTCACGTAGGTAAAAGTCCTCCGGTGTTGTAAATATCCGGTTTATTTAATCTGTATTTCTGTAAAGCTAAATGGCTATGTCTCTTCGGATACCTGCCTTCTTTTCGATACAGCACCTCCACGTCTTCCGGTTTGAAAATCCACACTATGGACACGCCGGGCACTATATCTTCACGGACCACCGGGCCGTACTGCCGGAGTTTCGCAAGTCCGTTGCGATGCAAGCGGTCGAATTTGTACTTACCAAATACCGGTAAGTACTGGTAAAGAGTGCCGATCAGAGGTAAAGATTTTGGTCCTGGGATTTCGTTGAATTCCCTGCATGCCGCGGGTACCTTCGTTGAGAGCAATTGTGCCCGTAGTAAATTTAATTTCTAAAATAAGAAATATATCACATTTGGTTACATCAAATTTTATGAACCGATACGATGATATCGATTAGACAAGTACAAATTTAAGACTTTTGCAGTACGATTAAAAAGCTAATTTGACCATGAGTAATTAAAATCCTGAGATATTATAATTAAATCCCAGTATATCGAATCGATCGATACACAATTTATTGAAAATTAATAATTATAAATTTTATTAAGAACATTATACACATTTCTATTTAATATGCTATAAACACATTGATTTTTCTGTCTAATAAATTGTATGTACTATCCTATATTTTAATGAAATAATTAAGAGCCGTTAAATATAATAATCCCATATTAATTTTATAAATAATGTACTCATACACTCAGTGTTGATCTGGCTCACGAATAGGCCTGCGACAAAATTGTTTACAATGGGCTTCTAAACAACATAATATTGAAGTCTTTATTGGAGTGAGATTCAATAAGTACCAAATAAAAAAAAAATTATCGCCACGTTCTCTCTCACGCCAAACTCTACAAATTTTCATTTAATTTTGTTTTTATATTTTTCTAAAGCCAATATATGCTATCGAACAGGGGCGTAAGAAGACTCGCTAGTGCCCTGGAAAACTTAGAAGAAAAAGTCAATTAAAAAATTGATGTGATGGTATCTTTTTTAACATTTAATTTTACTGATTTTTTTTTAACAATTCAATTTATATATTTTTAAATTATTATTAAAGTGTACATTTTAAACTTTGAAAATTTGCTATTCTCGCCTTAAGACTGCCAAACTCATCGATAATTCCTTCATATGATAATTCCTATATTCCTTAGTGGTATTTTCATAATTTCATCACCAAATGTACAATTAGACAAAATCTATATATTTAAAAAATTTTAGTGGAAAATGTTCGTTTTGAAGGTAAAATAAAAATACGAATCTTGCACAATTTTGGCGCTTCTTTGCAATTTGCGCCCCTGGCGTAGACACAGTTCGCCATGCTCTTGATACGCCATTGCTATCGAATTATCATTATGCTCGCGTGTGTGATCGTTAACAACACTGTTCTCAATTTTTCAAAGTATTTATATTCATATTTATTCCATTTTGATTAAGAGAACGAAAATGAATAAAATATATGGGTTATATCGCGTTCACAATATTTCAAGATTAAGATAGGAATAACATAATTTTAATTCAATTCAGGAAAATAAGTAATACTATAATTTTTCATAGTAGCGTGGTTGTGTTAGACCCCTGTTTTATTAAATATAGCCAAATATTTACATTACCCGTAACATATATTCATGATACAACAGACTTATACAAACGTATTTTTCTATCGCGTATTCGACGGAAAACGATGACGATCGTCGATGTCAGCAAAAAATATTTCACGGTACTCTAATAAGATAAAACATCTCATCGGTGTATCACATTTTAATGCATCGTGTCGTATATTTTCTAATGTCTATCATTGCAACGTAACGCGACGGTCGAGACGACGGCGATCAATTTGAAATGCACATACCATTACATAGCGTAAACCGAATACATTATAATAATGTATGCAGGAAAAATAAAATTGAAACTATTGAAACGTATTTCGATATTAGAACGAAATTCGATGCGTTTACTACGTCTGGAGGATATTGCATGTGAATATTGATCGAATATTACAAAAAACAAAACACACTAGAACCTAATTTAAAACTCTTACGTCACACCTGTAAAATAAATATAATTTATACGTGTCCCTTGTAAAAATTTGTACCAATGTGGTTTTTACAAATGTTCACGGTTGTTGTTCGCGCGCGGCTTTAAACACATGGTAACAACGTAATTATGAACAATTTAATTTAAAATCCGATTTTATTTTTTAAACGTACAACATACAAGTGCACGTGCTATAAATTGCGCATCAAACAAATAGTATCAAAATAACGTGCTTTACTTATATCCAGTGACGGATTTTTATATTTTTCTGGGGGAGGTTCCTTTACATTATCTTATAATAAATTAAGACAACAAATGTTTAACCCATTAATAATTTATTACTTCAAGTCTTAAAATGTCATTCTTACACTAACAATAGTAATAGATACATTATCAGTTACTCGCTAATAATGATCTTAATAATAATCGAATAACATGGGTTCTTCGAACGGCCAAACGCTATTATTATCATCATTAATAAATATCGAAAACGTAATTTCATGGAAAGTATAAATACCTAAATACGCAACAAACATTAAAATTTAAGGACATACGGTTGAATTCATCACATTTATATATAAGCGTATATCCGCATATCAAATATAATTCATCACAACCCAAATGCGTGACCCGCGGAGGTTCGGACCCCTTGGACACTACTTCGTAAGATCACCACTGCTCATATCAGTACGACCGTCGTACAGAAAACGTTGCAGAAACAAATTAATGCGCACAGCATGCCGTCGTCGAGGACTAGACGAATAAGAGGTTGATGGAGGGGGAAATTCGATGATAAAGTGATAAAACGTAACGCAAGTGCACGTGTAGGTCTCATCTGCGCTGTTCATAGACACCTGTTACTCGTAAGTACTCTTATATCGGTATCGGAAACGCGGAAACGGATTTTTCAGCTGCGTAGGGTAACAGCGTTCGGGGGAGCAACACGTTTTGTGGTGCTTTATTTGAACACGTAATTCGTATGACCAAAAAAAAAAAAAAAAA